TTTCAGATGACTCTTCAAGTTACAAGAAAATTACTTCATACCAAGTCTGAAAAAAGCCCCAACAAAAACCATCCCAAAACTGTCTGACACTTTTTCACTGCTATTTTGCCAAAGCAAGGCTGTTATTCTTCAGTCATATAAAAAGTGGTGACTGTTTCTGGGTGTCTTTATTAGCAGTCCTGTAGGTGGTAATGAAGTAACTGTGGCCTGGAAGAATTTTCTGTATCTTTCATTCACAAATTAACCAGAAGCCAGTGCAAATTTGCCTGCGACTGTTAAACTGAGAATTCCTTGTTTAAATGGTAAGCATAATAGCTTGTTGTGAACAGACACATGTAACATCTTACGCTCCTAGATTTACCTTTTTCCTACCTGAAGCACCCTTTCTCATGTTAATTTTCCTTATTCTTCTTATAATGTCCCATCCTTCATATTAATCAAATCTTGCATGAAAATCTTTTCTTCCTATGGTTGAATCCCATTTTCTTCCAGCTATTATTCAGCAGAATTAGTCCATACACTGCATAAATTAAAAAAGAGCAAACAATATGGAATATAATTCATTTTGTGAAACATTTTACGAGGCAGTAATCACTTTGTACTAGGCTATCTTGATCCTAATCAATAACCCTTTCATTAAACCAAAGTTAAGAGGTGTATAGTTCCTATACTGTGAAAGAAAGACAATGAATATTTCTGATTTAGTCAGGTTCTATCCTGCCAGGTGTTCTTTGAGAGATTTTCTCCTGTACCTTTCTGTCACCAAAAGTCTGCTCAGTTGTAAGAATCAAAGCACGCAGTCCATGCACGATGAGACTGTGCTAGTGCAAATAAATCCATGCTCTATCTTTGGGATAAAAACCTTTACAATTCTTTTTAGAGGAAATTGTTAGAGGAAATATTATGACAGCTATAAAGACATGGTCTCGGGGCCAAGGATTCGGAGGAAGTCAAGGTAGATACATCTACAGATGTAAGCAGTCAGCTGCTCTGCTTCTGCTTCTGCTGCACTTCAAGATACTCAGTGAAGTCTGCAGCTGTACTGAGTCTAAAGGCCCTTCCAGAATAGTTATGTAATTATATATAGTTACTATACATTATATATATAATTACTATTTAAGTAACTCAAACATGCAGATCCTGTCCTTCTCATCCATTTATCATTATGGGCTTATTTATTATCTCTGAGGAAAAATCTATTTCTAAGTCATATTGTTCTAATTCTTACTTTACAAAATTCTCTCAACTTTTACAAATTGGAAAATGCAGTGAGTCTATATTTACATCAATGGATGATGCATGTGACCATCTGACACTTACTACTGCTAGCTGCTGTAGCAGCTTGCTACAGCAGAATTCATTGCAATATCACTGCTACTCATAAATCACAGCAAAACAATTGTTTTAATATTATTTTGTCTTAAATGTCAGCATATTTAGGTGTTCTTAAAAATCAAGATTTTTTTTTCTATAATCAAATAGAATTTGCCAATAAAATGCGGCCAGTTCCACCATGGAAAAAGAACTGATTGTAGAAGGCAATACAGGCAAGCATTCTTCAATCAATTATCAGATGCCCCACAGCAGAATTAATTGTAATTCCATGCCCTTCCCACACTAGGGCTTTTACCTCCTCTGCATCATTCTTCTTCCTTACCCCTCTACCACCATAAACCTGAAAGTGTGTCAGTCCTTCTTGCAAGAGCAAAAGTTTTCTGTGATACTTCATGGTTTTTCTAAGTAAGTCATTTAGTGATATTTCCAGCACTCTCACTTCACTTCCAGTTAAATTCCTGCTAGGTTAAAAATTAAAAAGAGATACACTAATCAGAGAGTATTTAACAGACCCAGGAGTACCCAGTACATGCTCTTCCATTTTCTTCACTCTTGCTCTACTCAGTTTCTCTATACAAATTCTTCTGGGAAGAATTTATCTGTTCTTAAAGTCAAAATCTCACAAAGATTCAGATCACTTCAAATGTAACTTTGTTTTTATAAAAATGAAAATAACACAGTATTTTGAGGATACTGAGGGGTTAAGAATGGGGTTCAATGATGGGACTGAAAAAGCAATAAAGCATTTGTCAGAGCAGATCCAGATTAACAACAGCTGTTGCTTGGGATTTCACTGGCTTGTATTTTCCATGTGATCCCTAGTGAATATGAACACATCCCAAAACCACTACCATAAATGTGACTGACTGATGAGCTTCTAAAAAAACCAAGGCCTGAAAAAGTTTAAGAATACAACTGAGCCACAGGCATCAATGTAAGGAATTCATTAATCCAGAAATAAAAAACAACAATAATAGTAATTTAAAAAAAATAATAGCAATTAAAAAAATTAATCAACAAATGAGGTTGGGAAATACAGATAAGATTTTGGATAGACATGGCAAAATTTAATACAGAGTTTATGCTGCCTGAAACACTTGTCAAATTAAATGACTGGTCAGTTGGTACCTACCTGAAGCAATGAGATATCAGATGAAAAGTAATGTTATCTCTTTCCAACTAGGGTGACCAAACACAGTATTAGGTTCCATATGCTGCTCAAAGACAAAATCAAAATGTGAAGCCATGAATCTTTACTCATCAGGAGAGTAATAAGTCCCTTTTCCCTAAATGCAGCAGAAATAAAAATAAGAAGATTGAACATTGTCCTTTCCCTCTTTTTATAGCTCCAAATCTGTTTTTTCGCCCCTCCATGCAGCTCCCTGATTACTTATTCATTGTAAGTCTTAAGACCCTTTTCACTGGCACACAAACCTTTGTGTAACAGTAGCAAGTAAACCCTGTCCATCATGAGCACCCTGTGACTATATTTAAGCGTATTTCTTAGTACCTCCTAGAAACCATAACAATTATTTAAAGCAGGATTTCAAAGTCCATCTCTGACAACAGAGGGAAGACCAGCAGAAGCCCTTCAGGTTATAAATCCCATTTCACTGCTGTCTGATCACATGCTGTGAAGTGCCTGCTTAGATACCATTTCAATGCCAATGACACGCTACAATTTAAAGGTGCCTAAAGTGTTTTCCACCTCCTGTTAATCCAGTCATAGAATTATTATCTTCTCATTGCTCAAGCTTTGGAAACCTGTCACCCCTGATGATCCAAAACCTTAATTTTTAAGAGAAATTAAATACAACCCTCCCAAAATAAACATATTGATGCCTAATAAATGCAGCAGCCAATCATGAGTTCTGTATGTACCTAATTGTCTTCATATGACTTAATTTAGTACTGACATATTAATAGAAGCATGTTAAGAATTTTGATCTTCTGTTACATTTTTACTTTGTATTCATTTCTTCACCTCAGATAGCTAGCCAGTATAACTGTGACTCAGAGCTGTGAAATGATGGAAGAGTCAGTAAATCTCTTCAATATCATGGATATCAAAGTAAGGATATACTCATAATGAACTCTTAACTGTTGTTCTTGATCAAATTATAAATTAAGTTTTGTACATTTTTGTAGTTTTCTAAAAAAAACTCTCATCATGTTTATGTAGCTACCCTAACAATTACTTCTTCCTTAGGCTTTAAATATCTATAGGCAGGTACTGTTCTTCTCAAACCAGAGTTTCTTTATCAAGTTATAGTCAGCTCCACTAAAGATAGCACTGAAGATATTATTATAAGGCATGTAATATGTATTTTCTTCTATGTATTATCTTGAATAAACTCCATAAGATCTCAGATCCTTGGGTTCCTTTTTTCAAAAAGTAGAGTAATAGTTACTTCATAAGCAGGTTGGCAGTGGGCAGGGAACACTGAATAGCAGATCAACATTACGTAGGTGCTCCCACTTAACACCTGTCTAAACAACTCTAAAAACTTCACAAAGATTTTATGTTTTCCTAGAGCAACGATTAAGCACTCTTTCATTGACTGGAATCAACTAATTAAAGCGTGGCTGTGATATGAAAGCAATTTGAAAATTAGAAATCCAGAAAGACTGAATGAAACTGCTTCTATTGGGATAATACAGAAATGAGAAAGAAATTCTAACATTAAAATACTACAGTTGCACAAAGTGCGCAACATTGGACAAAGTGAGGAAAACATTCAAGCACATGCATAACTAAACCCACTCCTTTTCAGAGGTGTCTACATTATTTTCCTTAAGAGACTCAAGCTCATTTTAAGTGCTTTCCTCAATTGGGATGAATGCATATTATACCATACTTCTTATTTTAGGATAACAGAATTACATTGCAATATCACAAGACAGAAGTATCAAAGTCCCCTGAACATTTCTGAATAAAAAAATCCTTCCCAAGCCCTGAGAGTCAGGATCATTAAAAATTTAAGTGGAAACCTCCTTTAGCTCCAAAACAGAGTTGCAAATAACTGTTTCAAGTATCCTGAATCTGTTATCAATAAACACAATGACCACTGAATAAATTTAGGTCTCTAATTCATTTTGATTCTTTATATATAATACATTCAATAAGTTTGAGAATCAACTAAATTCTTTGATTTCTAGCCAATACCTTGGCAAAATTTCCATTCAGTTCAGGAAAAAGCACTATATATTCAGTCTGGAACTGTTGAATTCCTAATGGCTGTATGAATTAGATCTTAAAACGTTTTGGAGAAGATTCACCATCAGTAGCAGATAACACTGCAGGATTTTTAGGCTACTGTCACCTAAGCTACATTTGACAGGAAAGAATATATAGTCAGCTTTTGCCTATAATGATTCTTTTTTATTGCTATGCAATAATATCTAATGCCTTCCAGATGCATTCAGGACAATTTGTTCATTTCACTTTGCAATCAAAATGTGTTTTGACTACTAAGTCCCTATTTAGCTTTTTCTGTAATCATTTTTCTTAATGGGAGTATTTTCCAGATGTTGTGTCAGTCTAGTCATCTGGGACCTCTTCCAATTTTTGTGGAAAGTTTGCTGTCATAAGCTGTCATTGGCAGTTTTGCTTAACAAGCTCTCTAATTAGTTAACCTCAGCACAGTTACAAAGCAATATATAAGGCATCTGAAACATTACTGAGAGCAGACATATTCTTTGTTAGGTAAGTGTCACACCTGTCTCTACTCAGAGCATTCTGATCAAAGTGCACTTCTTCAAGAGGAAAATGATAAACTGGAACAGAAAAAAACAGACAAGTTTTCCTTTTGAAAGAAGACTTACTTTTATCGTGCATTTCCATTTGGCATATTTAAATACTAATATTTCAATGATAGGTTACGGCTTATAAAATTATGTTGCTTAATAACTAATGTATTTATAGTTGTTTTTCTTGCTTTACTTTTATATTTATTAGCATTATAACCTTAAAAACAATTGTACTGAAGTGCATCTATTTTTAAAAAAATGACTGTTTTTCAGGTAAGAGAATGATGAAAAAAATTACTTCCATTATTTGTTAATAATGAATTTTCCCAGTTATACTACAAAATCTAACAGCTAATTGACTAATAAAAGAGAATCTATGGAATAATTCTAAATTAGCAATTTGTCCTTGAACAATTTCAGTATTAATTTTATATTGTTATTAGACAAGTATTATGTATAAAGATACATACTACATTTTTTTAAGTCATGAACTGATTAATTGAACTGCATGTAGTGATGTGGGATTATTTCCTTTTAGGGATGATGTCGTACCTGAAAGTAATGGTCGTATGGAACATACTTTGCGTTTCCCTGCTGATCCTTTCACTGCCCGTGATTCAAGAAGTGTCTTCTCAAGGTACTGTAATATACAAAGTTGAAGGGAGGGTGTCTAGCATATCTGATAAGTAGTAATAATGCTCCAAATGCACAAAGAGACTAAGTTCTAGAACTTTACATTTATTCAGACAGGAATTATGATTCATCTTTATCATCAATCAATATTTTCATAAATATATCTTGGTACAGCATGGTCCTATTTTTTGAGGAGTAACATATAAATACAAATAGAATACTATATGTATGAAACCTACTTCTTTTTTTGGTAGACATATTATACAGATCCTGTTGCTCTCTGACATATTTAGCCTAAGTGATTTGCAGCATGATTCAAGGAAGAAGCTAAAGTTACAGTATCCACAAAACTTGTTTATAACTACTTAAACATAACAGGCTCAGGGAAAGGAATATCTATACTGTGTTAAGTGCCTTGCCATTAAATGCACTGTTACTACCATCACAAAGGCAAATTTTGGCAATTATTTGTCTAATATTGCAAATTCTCATTTGTTTTCAAAGCTCAGTAATTGGTTTCTAACTAAAACAACACCATTAAGAAGAAACCAAAGAATTTGCACCCTGGCAAGCCTTGTGTTGTCATAGCTCTCAAGTAACTATCAAGTTGTTATAGTGATAACACTGTGTCCCCTTTCGTTTTTTTGTGAAAAAGTGGTAACAAACATTATACCTAACAGCTGAAAATCAATATATATATAATTGTTTGTTATTACATGGTCTTCCTTCATACACACACTGTGTGTGTGCTGTTAGAAATTGTCTTTGGTGTTGTGCTGTGTTACATGTTATTTCTTGTTGTTTTCTTGTTGTTCTTCAATGCTAATTATCTTAACTTTTAGCTTGCTGACTGTTCAGCTTCTTTGTTTGTATTTAGGGGCACTTCCCCCGTGGTCCTGCATGTTTCACTTCCAGAAGAAGCTGTTAGCATGTTACATTAGTAGAGATTTCACATAGGAAAGGGAGCTGTTGCAGGATGAATATCTGATCTGACAATAGAAGGTAACAAACTGCTGCTGAGTTTGAATGCTTGCAGTTTGAAAGCAGACCTCCTAAGGTCTTGCTTAGCAGTTGTAATCTGCACTATTTATGTATTATTTATTATTGTCTAACATTTTCCAATCTGAAAGCAGTCTAGCAGTAAAGCCACTGTGGAATGAACGTTTATGTTAACCTGCTAATAAGTGATTTCCTAATTAACAAAACAGAAAAGATACTTTATAGAAGATTGCAGGACTGGATCCCAACTGTTCCTAACTTCAGAACTGATAAGAATTCCACCCTGACCTCAGAGGAAAAAAACCCAAGCATGTAGAGGGCAGGCAGATATTGAAAATTTATTATAAGAATGTCTCCAGGGACCTGTATTTATTATGACAGTGCTCAGGAGATTTTATTTGATTATTACAAAGAACATTACCAAAAGTAAAAATCAGACAGACCTAATGGGTCCGTCAGGTACAGTTAGGCAGATGCACAACTACAGTCATACCGTACATAAGGTGAATTAAGATGGAGAATAATCTGCAAAACAATATAGTGCCTGGCTGATGTACTGCCTAAGTTAAATCTTCACCAGGTAGTTTGGATGACAGAACTGCTGTGGTCATACTACTCAACCAAGCCTCAAGGATTCGTTGATCTAAAGAAGAAACAGGATATAGTAGCCTCAGCAGAATACCCCTCTAACCTGCACGTGCACTGATGCTGGTTCTCAGGCTGATTCAGAACAAACCTCTGATCTGCATGCTTTCAGGAGGGGTTGCATCAGGCCCAGTTTTTGCAATATCAAGTGAAGAAATGGCATTCTGTAGAAGGAAAAGATAAATCTTACTACTTCCACATTTCCTAACATACCATTTTGGTTTGGCAATGTTTACACCAGTGTTGTGTGATTTTAGATTTATCAAGCTGTACAGGGAGATGTGGGCAAGGGTATTCTAGACAGCATGACTGCCAATGTGATTATAACTGTCATCACTACATGGAGTGCTGCCCCGATTTCAAGAAAGTCTGCACAGTGGGTAAGTTCCCAAACACAGCCAGTTCCTACTGACAAAACTTCCCCTCCCCTTTGCTCCAGCTCCCTACCACACCAGTGCCTCTTCTCTGAATGCTTAAATGTCCTAGTTTGCTGTGTCCTTGTTCTCCTCTCGTACACATATTGTTCTCCCTCTCAAAAACTCAGTGATAACCTCTCACATCCCATTCAAAGAAAATTGTATATCCACAAGTTATCCTAAGAAAAAAAATTGTTTTTCAGAAGAACAGAGGCAAGAGGGGGGGGAAACAGTTTGCTTATTCCTTGCTTTCTTCTCCTTAGTGCATTTGTACTGTATGTGTTTGTCTCTTGTACAAAAAAAAAAAAAAAAAAGAAAGAAAAAAAAAGGGAAAAACAAATCCAGGGGTTTTCAGTAAGACATTCTGGGACATCCCAACTCAAACTGAAAAAGTGTGGAGGCTGTAAGGTCTAATCCAAAGTCAGTGTCCTTCCATCAATAAAAATTCACTCTGGATCAGAACCATGTCCAGAGTTTCATTGAAAAGATGGTTGGACAAATACTATTTTATATGCCTTATTTATAAGCAAAACCGCATAGTTTAAATAAATACTGGTATTTCAAACTGTTTCACTGAGAGTTAAAAAGTATTTTATTATGAATCAGATGTCAAAAATATCAGCAATTTAGGTCACTGCAGCTTGTTACACTATACTGCAGTTTTAGTAAGTTACAGGTGTAAGACTTCTTACATCCAGCAATATAGCCCAAGAGTTGTTCAAAAGGCAGACACACCACTCCCTGAAACACTAATTCTGCCACTCTGACACACACAGAGAAAGCACCTTCATTTTCAGTCTTCCCAGCCTGATTCTGATTTGTGAGGGAACATCAGCATTTCTCATAACTGAAAGTACATACTGAGGTATTTTAATTATGTAGACCACTTATTTAGAATCATAGAATAGTTAGGGTTGGAAAGGTCCTTAAGATCATGTGGTTCCAACCGCCCTGCCATGGGCAGGGACACCTCCCACTAAACCCTGTTACCAAGGCTCTGTCCAACCTGGCCTTATTGTGGGCTCAGTTCCAAAGTTATTATGGCATCTATATAACACTTCATAAAATGCTTAAGGCTAGAGGAAGTCTTCCCTATTCTATCCTAAATGACTGAATTCAGGCAAGCACAGTAGGCACCATCCTAAAAGGATGCAGTCAGTCTAAGGACTGTTGCACAGCTAGTGTGTGATCAGTGCTGACTAAATTAGAGAAATGCCAGACACTGCTTATGAATAAAACATGACCTAGCATCATAAAACAATATTCACTTGTGCATGTCGGATAAATTCACTGGCATTAACAGACTACATCTACATTGGTCAAAAGAATTTCAGAATCTGCCTATACAGTAATTCTAATTTTGATAGATAGTGCCACATGCTTGCCACAGAGACAATGTTTTCAATAGAGACCTATCTACAGAAAAGATACAGGACCAGAATAACAGATCATATGATAAATTCTGGAAATACCAAGTGATAGTCAGTTATTGTCTCAATACTGTGAGATGCTAAGCATCCTCAAGAAATAGTCACTTCAGGTCTAACGTAATCACTTCAACTTAATAGTTAAGTACCTATTAAAGGTACTACAGAATGTTAATAAATATTAGATTGTAGTGTGATGTAAATGCCTACGGTCAAAATTTGTCCTTGAAAATACAGCAAGCATATTTTGCTAAAATCTGTAATATGTGCGTACACAGTTTCCAAAACAATTTGGACATTATTTGATATGAAACAGAAGTATTGTAGTTGTCAGAAATTAACCAATCATGAAATATTAAAAACACATGGTTATTACTTATGTCAAAGCACACTAGATACTCTTTCAATACTAATAATTTAAGAATTTTATTAAATAGACTGGGATAAAATTTCAAAATCAGTCACTCTGTGCAGGTTTGTTAATTCATTCACACAATAAAGTTGCAGTATTTGCACAGAAACACCAGGTACACTTGGTCATGACCTATTTGGGCAAATTATTTTCAGAAATGCTTTCTTAGACACATCACTCAAGGCAGAGAGGTACCCTTATGAACACCTTTTTGGAAACCCAAACCAGAATTTAAACACCATTCTTGAGATAACTACTGCTTGATCAGGGAAACTGAAACCTTCTATGATGGGACCTAGCTAAAGTGAATGCCGAGGTCACACCTTATTTTATTATGAATTCGAAATGGTCTCAATATACTGCAGTTGCAAAATGCAGTTCTGGTTGTATAGCCTGATCCAAATCCCACAATTACACAAACAATTTCTGAATCAGACCAGGATAAACACTGGCTTTTTTAAGCTGTTCTTTACATCAGGTGAAAGCAAATGACTTCACTGTAGAAATGCCCCTGCATTAAATGTGAGCTAGCCAAATTTACTCACCTTCTTGTTCTGCCTTAAGTAGCACTCTCCTGCAGAGGACGTTGCTTTGAAGCCTTTGAAAGAGGAAGAGAATGTGACTGTGATGCAGACTGCAGCAGATACGGCAAATGTTGCCCAGACTATGTGGAACACTGTCAAGAGGGTAAGAAATTTACCATTATATTTTTCTTAGATGTATTTAAACAAAGATGCCTTGCATTATCATAAAACATTAACTATGCAGGCTTCTTAGGGCACAAGAAGTTGACTACTGAAACAAAACCGAAACAAAACAAAAAAACACCAAACAAAAGCCCCAAGCAACACCCCCCCCAAAAGAAAAGAAACAACAACAACAAAAAAAACCCAAACAAAAATCCCAACAACAAACAAACAAACAAACAAAACAGAAGAAAAAGTCTAATTTCAAAAATAAATTTACCATTTTCTCAAGCATGAACACTTTATGAATGCATACAGGTAGATATAATGGGAGCCATCACCAAGGTAGTTCAACAAAAATAGTCCAACACCCAACCTTCCTTGTTCAGAGTACTAGTTTGGCTATGAAAGTAAATACCTTGATACCATGGTCACCACCTTATGAGACAAAACTACGTCTTCTTTTGTAACAAGGTGATCACACGTACCTGTGGCAGTTACCAGCTCCTTTGATTGGATCAAAATAAATTTTGCAGGCTCCCTGAGCTTCACAAGATCCTTCTACAAGGCTATGCCAGGGGGAAGAGAGAGTGTCACTCCCAATTCTACAATGTGACCCAGTGACAAATTCTGGCACTTACTTGGATACAAGTGAATTCCCATGCAACCATCAGAGTTGGAAAATCTGAATGCAAACCTCATTTCTCCTAAAACTCAGCCTGCTAGACATTAGCATAATTCTTAGAACTTGTGTGGCTTCTTTGGTCCATGCCTGCTTTGTAGCTCCTATCTATTTCAAGGGAACTACTGCTTTTAAGAAGTCTCTCCAAAATGATCACTTGTATAGAATTATCACATCTGAAGTACTACAAAATAACTAGATCTTCAGGGGATTATCAAAGTAAATGCTTGGCTGTTACAATAGCTCTCAGAGATCCACTATAGTGAATTAGTCCCAAGTCATCTATTGTCAAAAAACAATGCTGCCAAAAAAAAGTCTTATGAATTTTTAGAACATAGAACTCCACTCAGAATTCATCTCTTTGCCACCTCAAAATTGCCATTAGCAAAGAAGGCCTCACCTCAGACTTTCAGGGAAAAAATTTCTCCTGTCTTGTGATGAAACATTTAGAGATCCAAAGGGTATTTTTGCTCTTTTCCCTCGTGAATAATAATTTAAAGAATCCTGTAGGACAAGAATAAACTTGCATGGGAAGATGGTCACTGAAATTTTGTAATCACTTTCATTTTATATAGTTGAGACTGAGCAGCTATGACTAAAAATGTTGCCATTAACAGATTACTTTATTTCTTTCAGCACACACTGAAAAGTCACCACTAGAAGACAAATCAACATCTAAAAGATCATCCAAAAATGAGGAAAAGCCAGAGGAAGTAACACAGCCCCATGAAGTTATGGAAGGTAGGAAAGTGTATGAATGAAACAGGATGGGTGTTACATGAAGGAACATTAAAGACCATTTTGCTGCTCTAGAAATAGAAAGCCAGTGCGAGACATTACCCCACAGTTAGCAAGCTTTGGAACTGCTCAGTTTATAAACTAATTACCTCACCTAGGCCTCAGGATACTGACTTCAGAGACTTCACTTAGCACAGATGTTGGAGTGCAGTGATGTATCCTGTGTCTCTACTGGATTTTCAAACACATCTTCCAAAAGCGTTACACACCGTTGTCAGTTTTGGACAAAGTCCAAACAGGACTGGAACAGGAAGGGTGTTGTATTTTGAGACAGTGATGAATTGGCAGGACCAAGACAGGAAAATCTCCTAGCAGGTTTCTCTAGCTTTAATTAAGCCAGGCTTCATGCTGCTTCAGAAAACACTATTTATTTTTTCTGAATGGAAAATATGTTGCTTTCCTGTGTACTTTGGTATTCTGTTCCAGCATTTTAAGTGATAACTCAGGTTCAGTCTGAAATTTAAAGCTGAAATAACAAGAATTAAATGAGACTAGGGAGTCAGTTTTAGCCAATATTTTAACAGTCACTGTTTTGGTTTTTAATTTAAAATTTATAATACTTATCTTTCTAATGTGACAAATTCCCATTATGAAAAATAAAAATATAGTGGGTTAAATGAAACAAAGTTAAGGAAATTCAAATAACCATTAACAGGATCCACTTGGGTATTTCAGACACATTGAATGAAAGGAAAATCTATTCTGCAACTCTATGCTCATATCATTTCTACAATACATTTACACAGAGATAACTCACTGCAATATTATAAATGCTTCCAGTCTTCTGGGAGAGAGACTGCAGAAACTAAAGCAAAAAAAAAACAAAAAAAAAAAAAACCTATGTGAAAACAGAACTAAACAGCAAAACCTCAGAGAGACAACAGTGACAGATTAAAATGCAGAAATATTTACAGTTACTTTTTGCTGAATATAGCCATATAAACAATTTGACATGTCAGTGTAGCTATATATACATTAAAGTGGCTCTTAAAGCTGTAAATCACAAAAAGGAAAATTATCCAAGATAAAGATACAGTAGGAGATGCAGTCAGACATCTGTGTTCAGAAAGTTTGCTTTCTTCCCATTTCCCTACCTTTCCTTCAAGTCTAGGTCATTGGTACAGGCTATCTTATAATGAAGATCAGAGGAATAAATCAAAAGAACAGACTGGGAAGAGAAGCATCTTATTAGAAGGACTATGTTTCACAGCATAGTTCCTCCTCCCTGAAAAGGAACGGAAACAAGAAGTGGTCCCAGCTACAAACACCGAACTAAAATCTGCCATGATACATTCATGTGACAAGTTAACCAATAGAATGCCTTAAAAACTTAGCTGTTATGCTGCAAATTCACATGCAGACAAAATGAATTCATATTTAACACAGTCCAGATTAGTTTTGCTCTTCTACATTATTTATCTTCTGACAATTACCTAAATCCGTAATTAGTATTTAACAATTTAACCTAGGTTAACACATATCCTTTCTCCTTCCTCCCTGTTTTAAATTTTTCAATGACTTTAATTCAGGCAATTTTACACAGAAAGATTTTAGAGCAAAAAACATAAAAACTATTGCTATTCAAAAGGTAAATTGCTATTTCTAACTACTATAATAAATTAGTGTGAAATAGGTGCATGCACTGCAATTCCAATGTCTTAATATATATATGTTCTCATAGATACCCCACCGACAACAGCAGCATCAACAGCCAAGTCTGAATCTCCCATCACCCCCAAACCTGAAGACACAACCCCTGCAGCCACAGAGCCATCAATAAATGAAGCAGACTCTCCCACCACCCCTAAACCTGAAGACACAACCCCAGAGGTCACAGAAGCACCAACCAAGGCAGACCCTCCCACCACTCCCAAAGCAGAAGACCCAACACCTGAAGCCACAGAGCCACCAACAACCGAGGCAGACCCTCCCACAACCCCTAAGGTAGAAGATACAACCTCTGAGGCCACAGAGGAACCAATAACTGAAGCAGACTCTCCCACCACCCCTAAGGTAGACAATACAACCCCTGAGGCCACAGAAGAGCCAGTAAGTGAAGCAGAATCTCTCACCACCCCTGAACCTGAAGACACAACCCCAGAGGCACCAACGACCAAGGCCGACTCTCCCACCACCCCTAAACCTGAAGACACAACCCCTGAACTCACAGAGCCACCACCAACCGAGGCAGACCCTCCCACAACCCCTAAGGTAGAAGATACAACCCCTGAGGCCACAGAAGAGCCAGTAACTGAAGCAGACTCTCCCACCACCCCTGAACCTGAAGACACAACCCCTGAAGCCACAGAGCCACCACCAACTGAGGCAGACCCTCCCACAACCCCTAAACCTGAAGACACAAGCCCTGAACTCACAGAGCCACCACCAACTGAGGCAGACCCTCCCACTACCCCTAAGGTAGAAGATACAACCCCTGAGGCCACAGAAGAGCCAGTAACTGAAGCAGACTCTCTCACCACCCCTGAACCTGAAGACACAACCCCTGAGGCCACAGAGGAACCAGTAAGTGAAGCAGACTCCCCCACCACCCCTGAACCTGAAGACACAACCCCTGAGGCCACAGAGGAACCAGTAAGTGAAGCAGACTCCCCCACCACCCCTGAACCTGAAGACACAACCCCTGAGGCCACAGAGGAACCAGTAAGTGAAGCAGACTCCCCCACCAATACTGAACCTGAGGACACAACCCCTGAGGCCGCAGAGGAACCAGTAACTGAAGCAGACTCTCCCACCACCCCTGAACCTGAGGACACAACCCCTGAGGCCGCAGAGGAACCAGTAACTGAAGCAGACTCTCCCACCACCCCTGAACCTGAGGACACAACCCCTGAGGCCACAGAGCCACCACCAATGGAGGCAGACCCTCCCACAACTCCCAAGGTAGAAGATACAATCCCTGAGGCCACAGAGGAACCAGTAACTGAAGCAGACTCCCCCACCACCCCTAAACCTGAAGATACAATCCCTGAGGCCACAGAGGAGCCACCAACTGAGGCAGACCCTCCAACAACCCCTGAGGTAGAAGATACAATCCCTGAGGCCACAGAAGAACCAGTAAGTGAAGCAGACTCTCCCACCACCCCTGAACCTGAAGACACAACACCTGAAGCCACAGAGCCATCAACGACCAAGGCAGACCCTCCAACAACCCCTAAGGTAGAAGATACAACCCCTGAAGCCACAGAGGAACCAATAACTGAAGCAGACTCCCCCACCACCCCTAAACCTGAAGACACAACCCCTGAAGCCACTGAGGCATCTACAACTAAGGCTGGCTCTCCCACCACTCCTAAACGTGAAGACACTACCGCAGAGGCACCAACAACCAAGGCACAATCTCCCACCACCCCCAAACCTGAAGACACAACCCCAGAGGCACCAACAACCAAGGCAGAATCTCCTACCACCCCCAAAGCAGAAGACACAACCCCAGAGACCACTGAGGCACCTACAACCAAGGCTGACTCTACCTCCCAGCCTGAAGAGACAACCCCAGAGGCCACCGAGGCACCTACAACCCAGGCTGACTCTTCCACCACCCCAGAGGCACCAACAACCAAGGCTGACTCTCCCACCACCCCTAAGGTAAAAGACATAACCCCAGAGGCATCAATGATCCAGGCAGACTCTCCTTCTACCCCTAAAGTAGAAGAGGTGGAATCTTCCACAGCCCCTAAGGTCAAGGGAACTACCCCTGCAGGCACTGAGGCTGACACCACTGGTCCTGGATTAGTAACAACTGCTAAAGACAAGAGCACTCAAAGTACTGTGACTGTCACAACAACTACAAAGGAAAAACCCATACCTGGATCGGATACAACAATTTTAGAAACAACTGAGAAGAAAATTACAACTTTTGCACCCAAAGTAGCTACCAGCACAACTGTGAAAGACACGACTACAGGCGTTCAAAAGACGGTGGTGACTGAAACTAGAACTACTGAGATTATAACAGTAACTGACAAAAAAGACAAAACAACAGCTAAAACTGTTACTACTCCTATAACTGAAGGGACAACAACTAAAACAGAAACAACCACGGTGAGCAAAGAGGTAACAACACCCAAGAAAGACAAAACTACTGTGCTTAAAGACATTTTAACAAGAACGAGTAGGAAAGACACAACTACTGTAACTTCAGAGGTAACAGCTAAACAAGATGACCCTCCTAAAGGTAAGGATGATATTCCAAACACAACTCCTACAGCTGAGAAAACTGTCACTACGGCAGCTGCAACAGAAACAACTACCATAAACAAAAAGGCTACAACTACAGCTACAGAAAAAGAAGTAACCTCAGCTAAACAGGACAAGACTCACGTACCAAAAGAGACTTTTACAACTAAGAAAGAAGAAAGCACCATGGGAACAGAGAGGGTAACAGCAGCTGCAGCAGTTACAACTCCCCTGCCCAAGCCCACTGTGTTGACAACAACAGCCAAAACAGATTCAACTCCTAAACCCAAGGAAATTGTACCAACAAATAAAAAAGACACTACTACAGAAACTAAGCAGACAGTAGAAGCAGCTAAAGAGAGTATAAGTAATACTTGTGTTATTGTAGAGACAACAGCTGGTAAAAAAGAGGTAACAACCACCAAAGAAACTAAGGTCACACCTGAAGAAGAAATGCCTGATGCTGATGAAAAGGCCCCTAGTATTGACAAAGGAGAGGAAACTACAGTTACCAAAGAAACCACTACAAGAGATAAAAAAGATACAATAGAAGAAATGTTTATTGTTTCTAAAGGGACATCAAAGCCAACTATACATTTCCAGGAGATTACTGACACTAGAGAAGAGCCTCCTCCAGCTGACCCTGAAACTCTGCCAGTAGAGGAGCCTGAGATAAACAAGCCTTTAATACAAACTGACGACTTGCCAATTTTACCTGGAGAAACACAAGGTAATTGCATTTCAGTAGGTACAAAAGCAACAATAACTCCACCAGAGTACAACGAAACACATGAGTAAAGGACATGCAAGTGCTTTCTATACAGTGTCACAAGAACATGTTCCTTTTGTCCCACTGGTAAACCATAACCAGGTAAATCATAACCAAGGTGCTGCAGCTGCCAGCTTCCTGAATACTGGTACCTCTGTTTTCAGTTGTCCTGTCAATTAAATTCTTCATGTAGTTTAGAATGTGATCTCGTTTGCTGAAAAACATTTGCTGCAAGTACTGTAGAAGATGCAAACAGAAAAAAAAAGGTCCAGGAAAAGGAAGATAAATTTCTAAGTTCCATGGAAACATTGCAAGGGAGTAAAGCTGAATATTCATTACTTATGCTAACCAGGTGTTCTGTAGTCACATACAGAAAATATCACACAAGGTAGACAAAATAGTCTCTTCCTGGTATTCTTTCCTCTGCACTTTTTGCCACATTTTTCACATCCTCACTATTTATTTTAATCATGTATAGCCTGCAGGTTCTTGGGCGTTTGTTTTCCAATCATTTTGGAAATTTTAAAAAAAAAAGTTTTTAGATGGAAAATACTTGGACTTTTATCCAAAAGATTCATCCTTCCTTTATATTTAACTGAGAGTAAATATAAATTCTTTTTAAAGAAATATGGAGAGGGAAGGGAACCTACCAAGCACCCAGTAAACATCCCAGAGCACAAAGGATTTAAAAGAGGTAGCATGCAATGCATTTCTAGGTGTTTTTTTTTTCCCTGAATTACAGGTGCTTAGGCAAGCAGTAAGCACAGATATGTATAGTCATGTAAATGGCTGCTCTTGCACTCCTGGGGCCAAACAAGAGCCAGGTTTTCCAGGAACATCTCTCAATTGAGTAATTAAACCCTTTGCACCACAGAGAGCCCCGAATATCACCCTGCTGTGGACTTGGGAGGGGGAGGGGGCAGGAGGGCAGCTCTATTATTGGTAAATGTTAAACCGAATCCACTCTTTTGCAGCAAAGAAGGATGAGAAGGACCTGTGCAACGGGAAGCCCGCGGATGGCATGGTGGTGCTACCGAACGGCACCCTGGCAGTCTTCCGAGGTAGGTAGATAGGCCGCCAGGGTCCCAGTCCCGGTCCCAGTCCCGGTCCCAGTCCTGGACTCCACCTCCCTCACCTGCCCATATCCCTGCCCTCTGAGCCACTGAAGAGCTCCGAACCCCTCACAAAGAGACTCACGAGGCCGGCGCCCTCCCCAGTACCGCCAGACCCGGCCATGCTTCAGAGGTGCTGCCGGTGCAGGAGCCGCCTTATCCTTCAGCCGCGTTCTGAGCCGGGGAAAGGCTGGAGAGGGGTTCCTCGTTTACACTGCCTTTCCCTCACGCGATTCACCTTATGTCCTCCCGCCACGCAGGTCACTACTACTGGCTGCTGAACGGCAGGAGCCCACCAACGACCAATCCCCGCCGGATCAGCGATGGCTGGGGCATACCGTCCCCCATCGACTCTGTCTTCTCCCGGTGCAACTGCGATGGCAAGACTTTCTTCATCAAGGTGGGGAGCTTGCCCGCCCGGGAACGAATGTGACAGGCGCAAGAGGCAGCCGGGGAGGGATGTCCGTCCTTAAAACAGCAGCTCCACAGGAGAGGGGCCTTGCATTGCCCGTGTTACAGATGCAGAACAAACAGCGTTTGCAAATAGGGTGGTGGGCTTGAAACTCTGTGGGTGAAATTAAAACTCTTTCCCCCCACCACCACTGACAGCCTTGAGATGCCTCTTATCAGGAAAAACCTACATTGTCTTTTTTCCTATGTAACTGGCCAGGAGACAAAGCATTGACAGAAATCGAGTAATTGGGCCACATGTCAAAAAAAGTCCAACTGTTTAAAATACAGGTATTTTATCATGCCTTTCCTTTGCCCAAACAGCCTAAATTTGTTCCCAATATATTTACCTTCCTGAAAGAAGGTAATGAAATACACACATCTCATAAAAGATACTATACAGTTACTTCCCAGTTAATCATTCAGTCCTGGGATTCAAACAGCTTTTTCTATCCATGAAAATCTAGATTTATAGAGCAAACTGCTTTGTTCAGTATCCACCATTACTAGTTCATTTCTAAGATACTCTTTCCCTACTGAAAAGCAGTTAAAAGGCTGGAAAAGTATTTCTTTACATTTTCTTCCTGTTTTTAATGAATGTAGTAGTGGTTCCAGTCAGTTTTAAACTGTAGTTATCAAAATGCTAGTGTTATGATTATTTTTTATGTCTGTGTTGAAATTCAATTACCAAGAATGAATTTACTCTAAAGCTCATTTTTTTCCTTTAATCATCAGGGTCCCCTGTACTGGCGTTTCACTAACGGCGTTATGGATAAAGGCTATCCCAAACCACTTGCAAATGGATTTGCAGGGCTAAGTGGAAAAATAGTAGCAACCCTCCCTGTGGCAAGATACAATAATAGACCAGAATCTGTTTATTTTATCAAAAAAGGTATGTTTCATATTTCAGAAATTCAGAGATGATCAAAAGGTGCTTGAATTGCCTTAGGAATTAAAACATCACTTCTCTTGACTAAAATATGTGTTTCATTCAAATTAAAAAAAATAAGTGATGTTAAAGGTTTGCTAGGGGACTCAAATATCCTGAAGATCTAAAAATTTGTGTTTCAGTGCTTTTTAAAATGGAGAGGGCTGTAAGGGATAGAATCCAGGAAAATATTAGAGTAAGTTTTATCTGGCAGTAAAAAAACTGTTCTAGTCTGAAGTTAATTATAGAAAGGCTTTAATCTTACTAGTTCCTAACTACATATGGAAATCTCCCCCCCCCATTTCTTATTTCAAACTAATGTGCTTCTTTATATGAATGATGTACTGCCAATGTAAGAATTTTTACCATGACTTTAAAACCATACGTCAATGAAATGTAAATCCCTTTTTGGACTCTAGCTCTCGTCATGAAACCTAAAATGATGGTCTTACACAGTCCTTGATAAAAGGAATGATGGCAGCAAAAGCAGTTTCCCTGGCATTGTACTTTCTACAATAACTGTAATGAGTAGCGCGTTTAGAAGCTCATCTTGGATTTAATGATGGTTTTCTGTTTGATTCTTTTCTTGCCTCAAGATGTAATGGATCACATGTAATAGACATGAAAGTGACATTTTCATACCTGATACAGTTGGTGGTTTGTTGTTTATGGTTTTTTGTATGTCTTTCATTTGATTGTGGTTTTTGTTGCGTTTGTTTATCTGGGGTTTTGGTTGTTTTTTTTTTTTTTAACCAAATGAAACAAACATCTGTTTTAGATGGCAACATGCAACAGTATGTGTACAGACAAGAACCAGCTAAGAAGTGTCAAAGAAGAACCCAGATTACTGTAAGATACCCAGCTTATGTCCCAAGACTTGTAATAAGGAGACGCTTCCAACGTGCAGTAAGAATGCCAACCGTTATTCAGACTGTCAGAATCAACCCACGTTCATCTGGTAACTTATGTTTATTAAGTTTCTTTTATACAACCATTTTAATCTTAGTAGTTCTGAAACACAACATTTGGGTTTTTTTTAAAGTATTATCTATAAAAAAATTTAATCCAACAGATCTCACTTGCTGTAGATTATACAAGCAAATGACAGTTTACAGCAGACATACTGCAACACCTCCTAACTTTTCTTTTGCTTGCAGGAGTTTTGCGCAAGGAAATCAAAATGAACGCCTACTGGAAAGGTCTCCCAAAAGTTATTCATTCAACAATATCACTACCCAACTACAATAAGCCAGATGGCTATGATTATTATGCCTTCTCTTACAGTAAGTTAAAGCTAATGCAAATTATTTTGTATCTCAAAAGACTAAGGGATGGGAAAGAAAGAAGCTTATGAATCTCTCGGCTTTCTGAAGCGTGAGGTTATTGCTTGGGGTTCTGCAAGAATAATTTTAAGCGCTACTAAACAGTCCTGAGAATTAAAATGTTGCCTGTAATGAAGAGATGTTTCTATTAAAAAAAAAAAAATCAGTAGTTACAGGACAACTAGCAGCAACAAGGTACAATGGCTCAAACTAGCCAGCTGCAGAATGCATTGCTGTAAGCGTTCAGGCTTATGAAGTGACAAAAACCTGACACTTAAATGCAGAATTACATTAACGATAGATTGAAATCAATCCCTGGACCACTGCACACAGATAAGTTTTTTCACTGACTTCTATGAAAGCATTCTTCAGAATTTTCTGTATTATTCAGGAAAAAAAACAGAAAAAAGTGTTAAGAACTAGCCGTATCCAAATACAGGATACTAAAGTAAATCTCTGATGAGATGTATGATCTCACTCCTAACCTTAACATAAGCACATTCACACTTGGGGACCACAGAATTTCCACTTCTGTAGTCAATGCAAGATTGTTTTGGTTTTAGTTTGATTTCCAAAAAGACCACATCTATGTTCTAGCAGTATAAAAGTATTCTTCCCTACTCCCTCTTCTTGGGACAGATTATTAGCAGTATTGTAAAACTTAGCTAAACACAAAGAAGGACACGTAAAAAATAAAGCTGAGGACAAAAATTCACTGTTATAGTCTCTCACCTCCACATATATATGGAATGAAAAAAAAAATACTCTGCTATTCATGCCTAAATTAAAAGGCAGGCTTTAACTTAAAGATTCTTTCCATGTACTAAACAGTTTCTGAAATTTAATTCTGACACGTCTTCCTTTCAGATCGGTACTACAGTTTGGATGTTGGCAGAAGAATAGCAAAACCTGTTACTGCTCTCACAGGAAAGACTGTATCCAAAGACTGGTACAACTGTCCTAGCAAGTGATGCACAGCAGAGGATTTAACAAAAAAGATGCCATTTGAATGTTGACATTTTGTCTAATTTTATTAATAAAGACATTGAAATGTGTGCACACAAATCTAAGTATAAAATACTGCTTTAAGCTCTGGCTTCATTACACTAGAACAGTCACAGGCAAACTGGCACTTTTGTATACACAGCTGTAATTACTTTAGAGATCATTTAACTGATATTCCCTCTGTTCAGGCCTCCTCTGCCTCCCATTGCATGAGTTACACCTGTGTTGGGAAACAAAACAAATGCATTAATAGAAATCTTTTTTACCTTTTTAATCATCCATTGGTACTTGTGATACTTCATCCTTCTGTAAGGAACTGCTAGTGCAGGGAGCACTTCCTTTCAGATAAAGTTCAAGTTCTCCCCTCTGCCTTCCCCTAGAGCCTTGTGATATGGATACATTATATTTCTGTGATTTAAAAGGGCATTGTTGACTTGTAATCCTATTTCAGGCCCTCTGCCAAAAGAACAACATTCTTATCATATTTGAAATCAGTTAGTCCCTCCTTTTTGTCATTAAAGAAATGGTGATAGGCAGAAAGAAAATCTATCCTGGGTCCACCTCCTCACTTTTATTTTTGTTTTAGAACACCAGATACCTACATTTTAACACTGGTATCAAGTCTTCTACAATACTAAAATGGTGCCAAACTGAATATAATCCATCTAAGGATTTTTAACACCAACATTGCAAACAATAATTTATTGTTTTGGTTTAACTATATTGCATTACAAAATCTGTAAATCTTCAATGCTTCCATAAGATTTTTATTTTTTTAAATCAGTGTAACTGGAACCTCTAATGTAGCAAATGGGAAACTAACATATAATGTTAAAACCAAATATTTCTAAACTTATGACCTAACATCTTTTAAAATCTTCCTTTAAAACTTTGCCAAGTTTAAGATTTACTGCAATTTACTCTCCCTCCACTAATAAAAAACAAGTGCCACATTAAGTAGAAAGATTGCCTATCTAAAACATGCTCAGACTAACATCCTAAAAAAAAATTGCAGGGCAGGGATGCTGTATTATTCAATGTCTTATAAACAAACACAGGCATATGAAGTAGTACACTTCATATATGGTCCCCAGAGGAAGAACTAAAAACTTGTTTGAAAAGGTCTGAATTTGAACAGCCTTGAACACTTACCCCTCTGCCTGTTGAACTGACGACCACGAACACCAGTTCTTAATGTTGGTGGCTGAAGTCTGACACGTCGGAACGGCTTAGGCTGGTTACTGCTTGTGTCTGTGAAGAAGTTGAAATGCAGGAAAGAATGTTTGTGTCTGGTAGAGTTTTTCACTGTCAACATTTACATTATTTGATACGCATTACGCTTTCAAATTTACTTTAAAATTGTGAAGGTGTATCCTTATTTCATTGACATCATCTCTAATACAAATAAAAGCCTCAAAACAAGCACATTTGGTGGTACTTTCTTCTTGCTAACCCAACAGTGACTTACTGTTCTTTGACTATTTAATTGAATGAAAAAATATTTTAAATCTGACATCAAACGTAACAGTGGATAGAATCACTGAAGTATCAGTAACTTTTGCTCCATGAAGCATTATTCTTACTACGGCCTACTCTAGTTACTGCAGCTCAAGTGAAAATTGCTTGCCATTAAGACTAAAGGCAGCAAAACATGATCTTGCTGTAAGAGTTCTATCTTATTTTGTGTTTCTTGGGTATCAGCAGTGTGTGATGCTGGTCCGAAAAGGTCCCACACTTAGTGAAATGGTATGTATCAACTGTTTCCAGCAATTAGCCTGTACCTGCAGATGAACTAGAAGGAGGATCTTGGCTAGTCGAGGGAAGATCTGACTCATCAGATGCTTGAACAGATTCTTCTTCTTGCTGGCTATCAATTTCTAAGCCTGCTTCTGAAGTAATTCTAGAAGAGAAAAAGTGGGAGGAAAAACACACAAGTGTATTCACATAGTTTCAACAAGCTCAGATTAAAAAAAAGGCATAAAATTATAACCTATCCCCTTTATGATTTGCAATATTTGGTCATAATACAAAATACAGAAATTATTGTAAATATTTAAAATTGCACCTGAAAGTGGAAAACAAATCATTTGTCTATCAAATTCTTAAGAATTGCTTATTCCCTTCCTTCATGCTACTTGCATTACCTTAACTGAACGACTTCATTATGTATGCTTGCTTGTAATGAGGAGTGTTTTTCTCTGTTAACAAAAAGGGACAATTTACCCTTTATCATACAAACCCTAGTCCTTCAAACTGGGGCCTTTACCATCACTATCTGACTACTGCAGAGCACTCTGTATTCTTAAAAAATACAGTTTTTTGTTTGTTTTTCTTTTTTGTGACTTCTGTATTAGCTATGTTAAGTCAGAAGGAGTCATTCAGATGAAATCTTTGGGTTTAGATGAAAAGGTCAGACTGTGCTACTTCATAAAATTACTAAATCCTGTTTGATCTGTCCTTCCTCCCAGAACAGGTTAAATTGAAAATGAATCACAGGCATACCTGGATGAAAACAAATCATTAAAACTAACATGACATCAAATTGTAGTGAGCCAAACAAGTCATAGTTTACCCTTCAGATTCGGCCTCTGCAAAAACTTCATCCCCATCATCACCCACTCCAGCCTCTGCGGTGGTGGACAGATTGCCGGTAGATGTTGTAACCATTGGAACAGACTGAGAAGCGTGCTCTGAAGCATCCGCTGATGCACTTTCAGTAAAAACCGTCACTGTACAGGAAAGGTAGTTTAATTAACACTGAGTTAGTTTTTATTTCTACAGAAAATCTATGGAAATCTTAGGCAGATAAGGGAAAGGACTACTGGAATACTCCAGGCGTAACAATAAGCACTGTAGCAACAATAAGCTAATTCTTTTCTGGGAAGTCAAAGTTTGCAGCTTTTACTTCAGCCTGCAAATTTCTTGCCACTTACCTGGTGCTGCTACCTGTAATGGTGTTGTGGGAACGCTACGACCACCTGATTCTTCCTCGTGAGCAAGAAATAGTGGGGTTTCATACATACCTAAACCTGCAAAGCAAAGTTTTAGTGACAATTAAAATAGCCAGCTGAAAAAAACAGGTTAACTGCTCTTTTCCTTCTGAACACTTGATGGAACCCAACAACTCGTATTTATATAAGGAGCTTTTTGTTATTTTGACTTACTGCAATTAAATTAAATTAATGCAAGGCTAATTATAATTTATTGAAAGCTAATAACCTTGATGAAAATAACATTACTTATTTTACTTTCATCCTTCTCTTATGCCATTATTTTTCTGAGAGCATTCTTCAAAGAAAATCATACTGTTCCATGCTGACAAGAGATGCAGGGGAAATGGACTGATTCAGGACAACAACATGGGCAAAGCAGATCAAATTGCTTGGCTATCTCTGAGCAGCTGAGGATTTGTCCCAAAGATTTCTTTTAGATTTGCTGTTTTCCCCTTATGTTTTAGTAAAGAAAATCTACAGTCAACCATAAAAATAAAGTTAAAAACCATTCCCTTCACTATTTCACTTCTCTTTACATGAAGTTTCTTGTGTCTAGCAGGCAATATGTTCTAATTAAAATTTCAGCTTCTCTGGTTCACAAACCCACAGAATCATTGTACATTTTGAACCATATTACAAGGAGAAATGTAGCAGCTTTCAGGAAACACGTTTTCACTTCCCGTTACTCTTCTCTACAATTTTAAAAGTTGCAGGTTTCCAGTACCAGAAGTAGAAATGCATATTGCCTGCATTTTTTTTTTCACTCTAACAACCATGGAAATACAGAAATTGTTTACCTCCTTGTGATGCAAGCTGACCAAGATCAGAATGACTTGAGCTAGTTTGCGGCATATCTTCAGGGGGTCCAAATCTGAATCTAGGAACTCCAGCTACCTGAGGGGAACTATCAAAATAAAGATTTAAGGAATTTTGCAGGAATTTGAGGAGAGGAAAACATTTTAACCAAAACAAGAGAACAAACTGCATAAGACAGAATTAATTAACACTGACCATAAAAATCAGCTAAACTACTGCTAATTAAATAGCGCTTAGTTTCTCAAACTTATCTGGACTGTATTCGAAATCAGTAAAACAGTCCTGAAGAGACTATTCTTTACTTATTCATCCTATGAATTCTCCCAATTTTAAGTGGATTGCTAAATGTGTCCAGAACATCCCAAATCCAAAAATGGGGTAACTTTTCCTGCTTCTACCAGTTATATTAACAGGGTGGGAGGAATGAGAATGAGGAAGCGGAAGGAAATTAAATAGAAGAACCTATTTTTTTTGCTTCATCTCATCTTAAATAAGTTACTGTACACTGGAGATTATCTGCCTCCTAATTTGCTAGTAAGTTATGACACACAATTGAAACAATGATCACTTATTTGTTGATGCAGTCATTTATCATAGTATTACCAAGTTTTAGCACATTACTCCAATCACAGGTTCATTTGATTTCATTTTCAATCCACTGAAAAATAGATGTCATGGTGGTTTAGGTTCCCCCTTCCTCCTTTACATTTACTTACTGAATGGCTTCTGCAAACCCATCTGTACGATGTGGAACTACAAGAGTTGGTGTACTTGGAACTGTTCTGTCTTCATCATCAAAGAAGTGTTGCTGCTGGGAGAAAAAAAACAAACAAAACCAAAAAGACTGATATGAGAGCCTAATAATGTATTTCCAGTTTCCACCAGGACAAATTGACACCACAAGATCATCCTTCTATAAAACTGCCATATCTCCCTGTTGACTACAAAGGAATCTTAAGACAACACATTCATTAATAGATCGGAACCATCTGTATTAATATGGACTGCTGTAAGGTACCTAGCACATGGGATTTTTCACAATGTGAACCAAATTGTCTGTTCCCTCTTCCCTTGCACTTCACGAGGCATTCTCTTCATGTCCATGTCTTCCTCCCATGTCTTTCAAACTTTTCTCTCCAAAGTACCCATAAGGTTCCTCCCATGTGCCCAGGCAAAAAGCAGTAGGTACTGAAGTCAGTTCCAAGTAGAAATTGAATGACAGGTACATGCAAGCCAAGCAGTATCAGTAAAATCTGAACTGATG